TCTCAAACCAACGTTCCTCTCTATCAAGAATGAGAACATCCTCATCTCTGAAAGAGTGACCGCTGGCCTGTAAATGAGTGAAAACTGCAGTCTTTTGGAAGAGAGACGAAACATTTCATTAAAGAAGAACCCGTCCAGAAGACCTATACAATTTTTTTTCTTTTTGTGCCAAAAACACTTTAACTAAGGGAACAGAACGAGGATTTATGCAAAATTAATGGTGTCCCGATACCAGTTTCTCACTAAATGCTGTAGTTTGGGTACTCACTGATACTGAGTACCAGTACAAAGTACTTACTTAGTTAGAACCTAAACATTAATGACTTTAAAAGCACATTTCTTTTAGTTAGAACAAGGTGGCTCAGCCCTACAGCCCCTCTGACTGGATCAAATCAAATACAGCATGAGATATACAGTTGCAACATTTTAAAATAAATAATAAATGTGATTTTTTTTTTCAACTTGTACAATTTTCTTAAACATGAAACTGATTACTGTAACTTTTTACTTGAAATGCAAACTTTATCAATACTGGTTTTGGTATTGGTTCCGAGAATTGCAGCATTTTGTACGAGTACTTGTAAAACTATATTTACTAATCCATTTGGAAAATTTAAAAGACCGAAAACATTGAAAACATAATAAAAAAAAATTAAAATGTACGGTATTCAGATGATTTTCTATTTTATTTCGTTTGTCTCAGTTTGGAAAAATTCACGCAGATCTTCTTTTTTACTTTTACTTCTTTCTTCTTTACGCTCCATCATTGGGCAGGTAAAACTATTAAAAGCAGAGGGGGAGAAACAGAAGTAAAACACATTCTCCACAGGAGCTCACTGTAACAATTACGAACATCATTATTGTTCAAATGGCACCAAGGTTATAGATATTAATACTAAGATCYCCTGCTTGCAACTTAGCTTTAAGCTCTTCAGCATAATTGTGGGTTCATTACCTTGACAGACTTTTTTTAAAAGGGTGTTTTTACATCTTTGCTCTGCAGATCCTCACCCAGGAGGACTGGAACGCTGTGCTTTATAACGGGATGGCCTCCACCACGCCGCTGGCTGCCCTCTATTTTGTGGCCCTCATGACGTTTGGAAACTACGTCCTCTTCAACCTGCTTGTAGCCATCTTAGTCGAGGGCTTTCAGGCTGAAGTAAGAGCAAACGCAGTTTTATATGAGCTGCTCTGCAGAGAACAGGAGACTAATTGTGCTCTGTTGTGCTGTTGATACCAAAGCTCCTTACAAGAGAATAATCTCCACCATCCTGCCTGTGTGGTTTCTCCTCGCCGTCTCTTTATCCGTCGCTCTTTCTTCTCTCATCTATTCCTCTCCAGCACCTCCCTTCCCTTTTTCCTCCTCTATCGCTCTTTCTCGCTGACATGCATGTCCGCTTAGAATACTCTCCGGGGTGGGAGAAGTGTTTGATATCACTTGCCATTCGCAGCTGGTGAGCTTTTGTTGTTTAGTTTCCATCTTTTATCTCCAGCATCAGGGAACGCTTGCTCTCTGTCGCGCACACACACACGTAGAGATACCCTTTGCCAAAGCTGTCTGCCTCAATCTTTCTGGCGTGAATTTTAATTAAATTCAGTAAAGCTTTATTGGCATGACTACAGGAGCTCGCTGCCAAAGCAATGCACATAACTCAACCAGAGAACACAGGAGATTCCCTCCGCCCGTCTGTCTCCCACTCTTTGTGTCTTAATCATTCCACTCCGACTTCCTGGTGCTTTTCCACATTTCAAACAGTCAACAGTTTATGTACGACAAAATAAATAAAGAATGACTGTGACGGTGGGGGATCATCTCGAGTCATTCTGGTGTGTCTCTGTGTTTCAGGGTGACGCCAACAGATCTGAAGCCGATGATGAGAGACAATCTCTCTGCTACCAGGATGAGGAGAAGCTCAGGGAGCTTTACGCAGCAGGTACAACGTGGCKTTTACAGTTGGAATTTAAACATCTGTCGTTTGTTTTTTCTCAAGCTTTTGAATAATGTGTTGAAACATTTATTACCCACAATGGAGGGCAAAAAGGCAATAATGTTTACGCTCGTCTGTCAGCAAAATATCTCATGAATCACTTGTCAGATTGTAATAAAACACACAGAAAGTAATCAATCATCTACAAATTATTCATTTTTTGGAGTTAACCTAATTCAAGATGGTCACCACAGCAAAGCAACCTTAGCAAACACAAAAATTACTTTACAAATATTGAGATAACATTTGGTGAGGTAATAGCTGAGAGTCATCAGAGGTCTTCTCCGTTGGGGTCATGGAGGTGACTTTTTTGACTATATTGTTTTCCCTAAAGATGTGTCTTTAAACACTTTACCATGAATCCAACATGTAGCAAATTGATAAATGGAAGCATAAAAGAGTGTGTTTCAGTCAGAAAAAGCACACATTCAAGAGCCACTGTCTTTCAGGATCCTTGTGTTTTTAAGTCTTTGGGTTTTGGTTTAGCTCAGTTCATTTTATGGTTTCCTGTGCTTTTATTTAGGATTCCTGTAGTTTACTTCAGTTAGATCTTTTTATTTTATTTTATTTTATTTTATTTTATTTTATTTTATTTTGTATTCTCTGTGCCATTTCCTCATTTCACCCTCAAGTCAGTCTCTCGGTACTTTTCCAAGTAATCAGTCACTCACACCTGTTGCTATTCCCTAATCATTTCTATATRTTTCAGTTTATCACTGACTTCACATCAGCACTTTTTTTCTGGTTACTCCTTGATGTTTTCTAGTTTCCCAAGCATTCCTCCTTCTTGCTTTTGGTTTTGGTAATTAGGCTGTTTTTCAATTTTGTGTCCTTGTGAGTCTGCACCCTGGGTCCAACCTCGTCACTCAGCCTGATGTATCCTGCATGTTTTATATGTTTCTATGCTTCTCATTACAATAAATGAGTGATTAACAGGCTTCTGCAGGACTTGAAGACCCACTGAAGAGCAAGGAAACAACTAAATCATGCATGATAGTTTCCCTCGAGGACCAGGATTGAGCACACACTTCACGTGATAACTGATCACTCCATGCTTCACAATATTGCACAAGATCAACCATAAGTATTCATAAAGTTTGACCAAAATGGATAAAACATCATAAGATGATCTTAGTTTAAATCTTTGGAATAAAGGGGATGGGCAATAACGATTCCTTCAAGCAAAGCTAGCAATGCTTTAATCATTCTAAATGTGAGCAGATAAATTATAGCAGACCAGGGTTGACTGTCCCTGCACTAGATCCATTGGTTGTATTCATCATGAGGGGTCTTTGGGCTGCACTTTGTCTGATCCCTCACCTAGGACCTGTTTATCTTGGGTGACCTCATGGTCATGAAGTCCCTGACAACATAATTCCTAGGACAGGGCTATTCAATTGACGGCGAGTGACCAAAGTTTGGCCCACCAATTGGTTCATTCATCTCTTAAGCCCAAACCCCAGTTTTCTACYTTAATTACTCTAAGGTATTTTAGTTAAACATAGACATTTTTGGTGTCTACAGAAATGTCAGAATCTTGGCTACAAGCTGGTAAAAACCATTTCAATGAACATCCAAGACAATTAAAACTACAAGCAGAAATTGAAAATAAAATTGGTTTAAAAATTTGGCAAGTCAGAGATGTCAGAATAATAAATGTGTTAAATGGGAGGATAATGTGTTCTTTTTGCTTTTATATTGTTTAATTATCACTACTTTTATAGGGTTCTGTATGTTGTATTCATGATAAAATGCAGCAAAATAAACTATTTCAAAGGTAACAGATCTTTATTATACTTGGTTTATTTGCATAATGACTTTTAGTTATTTGAAGACTATTTTGTTTAAATTAATTTTTTCGAGAAAAGGGGCAGATATAAGATTTTTTTCTTCTGCTACCATTCATTTATGATTTGTATTTTGTATTATTGTATATAGAATTTATGTTTTTTCATAAAAATGAATAAATAAAATAAGTAAACTAATTGCTGGATGTTTGGCCCCTCAGCTGTTGGCCTGCACCAACTGTGCCCCCCCGAGCAGTTTAGTTGAATAGCCCTGTCCTAGGATCATTGGGACACTCAAACCTCTCCACGACGAAGAGGCAGGCAAATTTTGAAGTATAGTTTAAAAAAATAATTCTTTTTAAACATTTTTTATATGTTTGTTTGCAGAACTCAAAATCCAGGCCATGATGCTCAGCCCCAACGGTCTCCTGAACCCAAAGGCCTCCATGCCTCCCCCGCCTCCCCCACCGCTGCCACTCATTACGCACACCGCAGCCACACCCATCATAAACTCCAGCCAGTCCAGGAGRACGAGTGGTGCTTCCACCGACATCAACAGCCTGGAGCAGAGGACGCCGGTGAGCCCTGGGCATTTCTTTTAAATATTTAAGATACGTCTGGGGTCCACCACCTGCAGGAGGAGCCATACGAGCCAGGTTCATGGTGCTGTGGGCAGAAGCTAAAGGTTGACCCTGGCTTACCAAAGCCAGGGTCTGAACTGACTAGATATAGTGAGTTCTGGGGGGCTGGTGTGGAACTAAGTATAGCCCCACAGCAGAGGGTTATTTGTATATGTATTTCTTCAGAATGGAGTAATTTTTCCTCTACTTGATCTAGAAGAAAAATCAACTTTTACCGACAACAGTTGGTTTCTCGTTTTTTTCTTACTGCCAGAAGAGTGGAATTTAGAAGTTTTGTTTTGTGGCTGTAGCTGCGTTTCCATTGACCATGAAAATGCGCAAATTAAAATTTCGAAAACAAACTTTCTCAATGGAAGCACGTCAATTTTGAAAAAAACTTATGTTTTTCAACGAAATGGTTTTGCGCTAGGAAGAGGTGGTTTTTCAGCCGTATCTAAATTAGTGTATTTCGCAAAACTGCAATGGAAACACTTTTTTCGCATCACGAGTCACGTGATCAAGAACCGGCTGTTTCTACTCGTGAAAAAGATGACAACAGGAAGTAGAAGTAGTGGTAAAATCACCGAAGTTGTAAAAGAAAGTAGTGAACTCACCGACTACAATTTCCAAAAAACGCAGCATACTCCCAGTATGCTGCGTATGCTTCTGCTCCCAGTAAAAGGGTCTTGTTGCTCGAAAGCCTCGATAAGACGGCAATGTCTCCTCCTCTGATGATGATGATGATGAGTGCTAGTGCCATGGTAGCAATATGCTATGTGTTTACATCCATTGCTGCCATGTTTGTAATGACTTATAGCGAGAACTAACATATTCACGTGTGACTTAAATAGCATTTCTTACTTAATGGAAACACTGCAATTGTGAAACTGTGTTTTTTCGACATTAACAGAATACCGACAAAGTTTTGCGCACATTTGCAATGGAAACGCAGCTACTGACTTTAATTTTTATAAAAAATTGAACTAAAAGATCATCCTCCAAAATAGTGATTCCACATTTTTTAACAGAATAATTTACATTAAATCAATCAGTCAGAAAACCTGCTCAGCTTCTTTGTCCACAGTCTCTGTGGGACAGYGGACCAGAGAGCCGTCGCTCCAGCTGGACCAGCATCAGCCGAGGCCCCAGCCTCCACAGAAGGAGCCAATCAGGAGAGATGGAGTCCCTGCTGTCTGACCCCAACAGCAGGGAGCAGTCTCTGGACCAGTCGGACCACCTGCAGGTTCCCACACTCCTCTCGCCCGACTGCAACGGCACCACCTTTCACCTCCCGGACCACAGCTACGATGAGGCCACGCTGACRTCATATTACCATGACGACCAGGAAGACGAAGAAATTGAGGAGGTGAATGAACAGAAATAACAGTGTTGATTACATTTGTTTGATTTTATTTAGAATCAAATAAAAAGGCAAGTTGTTGAGTCTGGTTATGTAAAATATCATTTTTAAGCAAAATAAAAGTTAGAAAACTTGCTGCTAATTTTCTGGGGGAAAAAAAGGAAAACATCCTGACCTTAATAACTCTGGAAAGCATTGTTAAAAAATTAATAACTGAATTTAAATCATGTAAAAGCTGCGGCATTGTTTCAATTCAGTTTTGAATGTAAATGTTACCATACCAACTGTATTTGTAAAGCACTTTAAACACCGACAGGACCAAAGTGCTGCACACAGTCATAAAACACAATACAATCATCCATCCATCCATCCATC